CCCCAAAACCCCAAAACCCCAAAACCCCAAAACCCCATAAATTATGCCTCTGGTTGAAACTTTGAATAAGCACAGAATTACCAAAATTTAGGTTTAGTCTTGACCTTCTTTCTCTTCACGATAGGCTTTTGAATAAACTCATTGCCATAAATAGTCTGAAAGTTCGATAGAAGCTGAGAGTTATGCACAGGGTCTTCCTTAGGCTTCATTGATCTTGAAGTATATATACCACTCTTCAAGGCTTCAGATGGATAGTATTGAACATTTCTGTCAGTCATCTTAAGCATATTGAAATTCTGTTTAATATGGTCCTTACAAACTTTTAATTTAATTTCCTTAGGATCAAGAGAGGTTGGCAGTTTATTATTTGCTCCAGAAGTTTTATCTTCGCTGAGCTTTCTTGACATCTTCCTTCTAAAACTTTCTCGATAGATAGAATCTCCTTTAAATGGAAGATTGTAAATAGGATTCTTAGGATGCTTTGCATGGTACATTTTTCCTAAAAATAAAGACTTGAAGTTACCTCCTCCAAAGTTCTGGAAAGTTTTTTGATAAGATGAAGCAATGAAAGGAGAAGCAAAGTTAAGCGTTTCCTGAAATTCTTTACTATCATTAGGATTTCTTTCGTGCTTTTCAACTGTAACAATCATCCTCTCTGGGATATTTCCCTGACTTTGTGATCTTTGGGTCAGTCCTTTATGGCATTGAACTTCAAAATCTTTGAAAGTGTCTTTATTTGTTGTATTTCAAACCATCTTATTCACGTTAAGATGTCTTCTCTTTTCAATATTGAGATTAAGGCAATCCCCAAGATCCGCAAACCTAGTCCTCGGGACTAATTTCTTGCCAAAGAGTGCTTTGAAGTCTTTTAGGTAATTACTCCCCAGCTCTAAATCAACAAATTTTAGTATTTAAACCAGAATAGAGTTTACCTTTAGGATATTTAAAACGGACTAGCTTATGGTCTGCCAGATTGCTTAAACCATGAATATCGATTTCTTCTTGCTCTAAGAAATCTTTTGTATTTTTAACCATGAAATTCATATTTTTATCCATCAAGAGCTTCCTAGTGTCGATAAGGTTTGGATCCATTGTGGCTACATTTATACGAGGAGAACTAGATGTATGCAAATGCCTCCTAACCACAGGCTTCTCACCAATCGCTGGAGCTGGTGCCTCCTGAAATGTTTTCTGTTGAGGAATAGATTCTTGGACTTCAATCTCTTCGCTTTTGGGTTGATTTTGTTTCAATAAGGAATTCTTGGAGGGATCCTTATTTTGAATATTTTTAGTATTTCTAATTCTCATTCCTCTCTGAGACATACTGGAGTGTATTCTCCTAGCCTTTGCTTGATATCCTCTTGCTATTCTAAGTTTTTTGTGGGAAGTACTGGGCTTAATCATTTTTTTTTTAATTATATGAATTATTTCAGTTTAATTCTCACTTAAAGGGGTTTTGGGGTTTTGGGGTTTTGGGGTTTTGGGG